ATGGTAAAGGTGGAGGAACCAAATGCTTTGGAATCAAAAGAATAGAAAATGAGAATAAAGGGCAAACGAGTCAAATTACCATATCAAAATACGAAAACAGAAGAAGAAGATTGCCTGAGAGGTGGTGCCAAAACCCAATCAGAAGAGCTGGAAAGATGCCACAGAAGAAGCTGAACAACAAATATGTGGCATTGCGGAGCCACACCCAGGGTTTCGAGATGACGAATGTACTTTAGTCACAAGTATTATACTATTTTAACTTGATTATTAGCTGGATCTTATGAGTGTTAAACGTTTTTAATGTATTTATTAGTGTTGTTTTATAGGTTTGGAGAGATGATGTTAATAATGGTAAAGGTGGAGAAAACAAATTGTTCGGAATAAGAAAAATAGAAATGAGAATAAAGGGCAAACAAGTCAATTTACAATATCAAAATCAAAAAAAAAAAAAAAAAAAAAAAATTTAAAAAAAAAAAAAAAAAAAAAAAAAAAAACAAAAAAAAAAGAAGATTGCCTGGGAGTGGGCGCCTAGGCCCAACCAGAAAAGCTAGAGAGATGCCACAGAAGAAGCAAAACAACAAATTTGTGACGCTACGAAGCCACACCCATGCATCAAGGTACCGTCTAAAACCAATGAGGGTACTTTTTTGACTCGTTTTGAAACCCATAAAAATTCAAAATTAGGGGAAAACTTGAAGAGGGGTATCAATACAAGAATGGAGCCACTTTTGGAGAGTTCTACACATTGAGATACACAAGAACACAACTTGAGATTGAAAAAGCAAAATTAATTGAAAAAAACAACAAATTAAGAGTTAGGGTTTGGAATCGAGATTTGAAGTAAAAAGAGCAACTTAGTGCAGCATTTATCTACTTTTCCACATATCAATTCAAAACCCAATTATGTACTTCAATATTGTTAATTGTTTTTTCCTATTATTATGAGTGGCTAAATTTTTTTATATATATATATATATATATATATATAGAGAGAGAGAGAGAGAGAGAGAGAGAGATAATTCAATGCTTTTGTAAATCTATTATGAATTGAGATGTGAGTTTTAAATTTAGACCAAATATTAAAATTCATTAATTTAGTATAATATGTAGAGATACATGTACTAACTATTGTGGTCATTATATGATTCTTAAAGTAGCTAGTGCATTTAACTAAGATAGATCCACATATAGATACGATATTGAATGAGTTAAAAAAGGCTTAATAAGAACTCGAGATGAGTAAATTGAATACAATAGAATAATTCGATCAAACACTGCATTAAATTTATGAATTTTGAATTGAGATTTAAAGGTGATCAATAGATAAAATTATTATGAGCTAATATTCATTCCATATTTGAATTTTCAATCGATCTTTGTGTACATTTTGCTATTTTCAATTAGTAGAAATGGTTGAGAAAAAATTAATCGCCAAATCACAATTCTTGGTCTTTCATCAAATAGACATTAAAAATAATAAATTAAGCATTAAATTATAGTCATCGTGAAAACAATAATCCATACTCAAATGTCCACTATATTATTTGTTATGATATCGTACATTTACTATACAAAAAACACAACACTCCCCTGTTTAACAAAAAATCTTGTTTGTTATGTGGTCCATTATTTTTATATTGCCCATATTTTCTCGTTCTTTAATTATTTGGTTGTGTTCTTAGCACCTCAGATCTTGATCTAATACAATAGAAATTGGAATACCACGCAATCTGGTGATTCTTTTAACATATACTTTAGCTAACTGATAAAAAAGTAAATGTCATCGTAACTGAAAGAATAGTGAGCTAAATTTGTTAATCTATTAACTATGACCAAGATATACTATCATTTCCTTTAACCCGCCTATAAAAAATTCACCATGATATTCATTGAAATATGATCCTATTTCTTCTCTTAGCTTTGTTTGTAACGGATTTAAAAGTACTCATGGTTGATGATGCTACGCCTTCACATTTTAAGCCATTAAGCACCTTAAAACAAATTTAGCTATGTCTCTCTTCATATTCATCCACCAAAACATGACATTCAAATATTTATACATCTTGGAACCACTAGGATTAGGTAAGTATAACAAAGAATGTGCCTTCCGAAAGTTCATTCTTAAATTCATCTGGATCATGCATACACAGCCAATTCTTTAAATGTCAAATCAATTGAAAGTAACTCATAATCCATTCACCTATCCATAACCATCAGTCTTGACTTGTTGAAAATTTGATTCATTATCCTAAGACCTCTTGATCCAATCTTTAAATGTCTTTTAGAGCACAAGGGTAAAAATTTGCATTGCTTAAGCTCAAATGGTGGCATTTTCACCCCTAGTCTCAACTTGCCCAACACTTTCTACTTAAATCATCAGCAGCTAGACCACATAAGTTTTTCTTGGATAACAGCTGATCTTAAAATCATAGTACTTAACTAGCTCCAACCATCAAGGTTGCTTCATATTCAACTCATTACGGTGAATAAGTACTTCAAGCTCTCTTATGATCTGTATATATGTCATACTTGCCTTTGTAGAGGTAGATCACCAAATCATCGGTGCATGCACTACAACTACTAGTCCTAAATCAAGCATTCGATAATTTTTCTCGTAAATTTCATTTATATTGTTGAAACTCTTATCAATTAATTCTTGTAATTGAACCTTCTATTTTTGTAGCTCGATATACTCCATTTGATAAGAACTTTGACAAATTGATATATATTCCATGATACTGAAGTAATGGTAAATTTAACATCTCTATCTGGAGGAGTACCTAGAAAGTCATTTAGAGGTACTTCAAGAAATTCTAGAACTTAAATAGCTTAAAAGGATAACTAATTCATGTTATAACTTGTCATGAATAGTAAGAATATTTCACAAGCTAATTTCCTCAACAAATTATGGTTGCTTAAAAACTAAAGTTCTTTCTTACCTATTCGACAGGAAAATAACTTCTAGAAACATTAAATGGTTGAATAACTCTTAGAACACTTAAACACCACAATAATAATATTATTGTCTTTCATACTTAGAAGGACTATTGTCTTTCATACTTTGAAGGACTACATCCGACACTATAATCATTTCGTCAATTACAATTTTAGTGCCACTAACTATACTTCCTGATAGGAGGGAAACTTCTAATGTAACTTGGGGAGGTTCAAGTTTTTATCATAGCTCATATAAGCCTCCCTAATAATGGTTTTGCCTCTTCTTCCCGAGCCTATTCACTTTGGTGTTAGTATTAGATATCTTAGTAACCTTGTGCTAATAACTTCAAGTAACATGACCTAATTTGCTAAACCTCTATTTCATTATGCCCATCTTTTCTTAAGTTGCATGGATTTTCCATGAAAAAATAGTATATCCAAATTTTGGATAAAAAACATAAACTCTAACGCTTAACATTTTTATAACCCGTAAATTGTAATCCATGAATTATTTAAAAACAAGTCAAGCACCAAAACTAATGTAAATTTAACTTGCGTGCCTTAGATAATTGGTGGAGAGTTGATTTAGAGAACATTTTAGTTTTTCCTCGAAATACCATGCTATAACGTCTAGAGATTTCAGTCCTATGATTGACTGACATTTAGGGGGTCATATGGTTGCCCAAAAGACTCCATATCTATAATTTATTGCAGAACACTATTACTTTTGAAAACTTAAAAAATTGACAACTGCCATAATAATTTCATTTGAACCCCTAAAATTATAATTGAATTTCAAAAGTTGCAACCTATGTATGACTCAATTTTTTTTAAGAAACAATGCATTGCAATGCAGAAAACTACATACTTATAAATCGTTGTCTTTTGAAAGTCAAAAGGTTGCAACACAAAAACTAAACTCGTTTTAAAAGTCATTAAAATAGAAGAAGGTTTAACATAAACTTCAAGTAGTTCAAAATAACACATGTTGCAACATAAAATTAAGCACGTCTTTGAAACATAATCTATTCTTTAAGACCATTTTTTGTAACATGAACAGTGCATAACATTATTGCAGAAATGTGGGGTATTTGGCCACAATTGCCCTTCTCAAACTATGCCTAGTGAGAGTAAGGGTAAGCTTGCAAAAGTTTGGGTTGCTAAAGATAAGGCTGGACAAAGTGGAGTAGCTAATGAGAAACCACCTATTGAGGATGAATGGACACATGTCTCACATAAGAGGAAGTCTACAGTTAGTGTTGATTCTGGGGTTGATGTGCCTATTTCTAAGGAGGTCCAAGGAGAGGTTGATCTGGTGGTTGTCAATGTGGCTCAAGTGGATGTTGTTGAATCTTCTCCATCTAGTGCTCCTAATTTGCATCTGGAGGTGTCGAATGTGCCTATTGAGACTTCTCAAATTGGAGAAGAAGGTAAAGTTTCTCCAGATCCTCTTGCCATTCTAGGTGAAGATGATAGTGATACGTCTGTCTCGCGGTCTAACACGTTAGCTACGAAAGCTAGAGATTCATTTCAGAAAAAAAAGAATGGGTCAGGAGGCAAGCATAAGAAAAGCAAGAAGCATCACTCCCCTAGGGGAGGCAGATGGCGCTAGTCATTTTGAGGTTGTGATTCTCTCCTTGACTTTAATTATGTTTTTTGGATGCTGGAATGTCAGGGGGTTAAACGACCCCATCAAACAATCTGAAGTAAAGAACCTTATTGCCTCCAATAGGCTTTCTTTATGTGGGTTAGTGGAAACTAAAGTTAAGGAGAAGAATCAAAATAAGGTAGCGAATGCCATCTTCAACTCTTGGAGTGTCCTTTCGAATTATAATTGTTCTCGGATTGGCAGAATTTAGGTTTGTTGGAATCCAATTGATGTAGATGTCTTGTTGGTAGGCTGCTCTGCTCAAGCCATCCATGTTCGTGTTAATGCATGTAATGGTAAATGGAGTTGTGTGGTGTCAATGGTATATGGGGATAACATTCCAGTTAAGCGTGTTGATCTATAGGATGATTTCGTAGCTAGGCATGGAGGTTTTGCACACTTGCCAAGGGTAGTCATGGGGGACTTCAATTCTGTTCTCTCTCCTTCAGAAGTAGCAGGTGGTTCTTCTTCTTGGCCTACATGGCAAGATGACCTTGGGAATTGCATGATGACAGTAGGGTTGGTCGATTTGAAGTTTGATGGCTATTTATATACATGGTCTAATAAGCATGTATCTGATCCTACTCAAGGAACTAGATCGTGTATTAGTGAATTCGAAGTGGGAGGAGGAATTTGCGGGATCGTCAGCTACATTTCGTACTGCTGGTGTGTTGGATCATTCACCTATGGTTGTGAAGGTTGCAGAGTTACCGCATAGGAAGATTCCATTCCGCTTCTTTGATTATTGGATAGATCATTCGGATTTCTTTCCTTTGGTGGCTCAGGTTTGGGGTGAAACAGTATTGGGAACCCCTATGTTTTGCCTGTGTTCGAAGTTGAAGAAGTTAAAGCTTGCCTTGAAAAACTTTAATAAGGAGCATTTTTCAGAACTTCCTACGAGAGTTACTCAAACTCGGACTGATATAGAGCATGTTCAGTGTTTGATTCAGCAATCGCCTTTGGATTCGTCTCTACATAGGGAGGAGGCTCGGTTACAAAAGGAACTTTATGAGTTGAGCAGGGCTGAAGAAGGCTTTTTGAGACAAAAAGCTCGTGTTAAGTGGCTGAATTTAGGAGACCAAAACACTTCTTTCTTCTTCAAGGCTATGAAAAGTCACTGTGGGAAGAGTAAGGTGGTTTCTATTTGTAAAGATGATGGTACTAGAGTGGAGGAGCCGCATGAGGTGAGTGAAGTCATTGTTGTGTTCTATCAAAATCTCCTTGGTCAGTAGCCTACTAGTGAGAGTCTAGATATGAACTTGCTCCGTAAAGCTCTTCCTAAAAGTATCTCAGCACTGCAGAATGAAAATCTTGATAGAGATGTGTCATTTGAGGAAATTAAAGAGGTCTTGTTCTCGTTGAAAGATAATAAGGCTCCAGGGCCTGATGGTTTTAATGCAGGTTTCTTCAAGAGGACTTGGAATATTGTGGGAAATGATGTGCTATGTGCCATTAAGTCCTTCTTTGACTCGGGGAAGCTATGAAGCAGGTCAATGCTACTACCATCACATTGGTTCCTAAGGTTCCAAATCCTTCTCAGGTAAAGGAATTTAGGCCTATCTCTTGTTGCAATACTATTTATAAATGTATTGCTAAGCTTATTGCCAATAGAGTTAAAATGGTGCTCCCATACATTGTTGGACCTCAACAAACTGCTTTTGTTAAAGGTGGGCATATTAGTGATAATATCTTTCTTTCTCAAGAGTTGTTGAGGAATTATCACCGCAGGGGAGGATTACCTAGGTGTGCTCTTAAAGTTGATCTCATGAAAGCATACGATTTTGTTTGTTGGGATTTTTTCTTTGCAGTTTTAATGGTGCTTGGTTTTCCTGAGAGAGTTGTTAGGTGGATTACTGAGTGTGTCACTACCACTTGATTTTCGATTTCCATTAATGGGGAACTGTATGGATTCTTTGCTGGTGGGCAAGGTCTGAAACAAAGATATCCTTTGTCGCCCTACTTGTTTATCTTGGCTATGGATGTCTTTTTGGGGCTAATGGGATTGATGGTTGCTGAACAAGACTTTAAATACCACTGGAGATGTGAGAAGGAGAAGATCACCCACTTATGTTTTGCTGATGATCTTATGGTCTTTTGTAGAGCTGAAGTTGGTTCTGTCTCAATCATTGGGGAATGCTTTAATCGATTCAAAGCTCTTTCTGGACTTATTCCTAATCCAGATAAGAGTAATTTATTTGCCAGTGGTGTTTCTATATATCTTAATGATCAGTTGCTTGATGTTTTGGGGTATAATGAGGGCGTGCTACCGGTACGTTATCTTGGTGTTCCGCTAATCTCTACCAAATTGAGGGCTTTGGATTGTAAGATACTGGTGGACCGTATTATAGTTAGGGCTAAGAGTTGGACCTGTCAAGCGCTCTCCTATGCAAGGAGGTTACAAATTATTAAGTCAGTGTTATTTTCTATTCAGGTCTACTGGTCCTCTGTATTTCTTTTATCCAAGGCTGTGATCAAGCAAGTGAAAAATTCATTGCGGGCCTTCTTGTGGAAGGGTAGTGACCTTGGCACCGGTGGGGCTCAAGTGGCTTGGGCAAAAATCTGTATGCCTAAGGAAGAGGGTGGTTTAGGTCTGCGGGGCTTGGAGATTTGGAATAAGGCTGCCATGTTAAAGCATCTTTGGTCCCTTTGTTCAAATTCTGCCTCCTCTCTTTGGGTTTCGTGGACACGTTGTTATTTACTTAGAGGACGGAGCATTTGGGAATTGAAGTGTCCTGGGGATTATTCTTAGAGTTGGAGGAAAATTCTTGGACTCCGAGATATAGAGAGGGACAAAATGAAAATCAGAATTGGGAATGGTAGACATGTCTCGCTTTGGTATGATAATTGGCATCCTCTTGGCCCTTTAGAAAAGATTCTTGGAGAGAGGACCATTCGTGAATTCAGATTGAGTAGACTAGGTAAAGTGGCTGATATTGTGGAGGGTGATACTTGGAGATGGCCATCAGTTCGCTCCCCAACTTTGTCTGATTTGATGCGAGATACGCTTGATACTTTTCAGCCAGACAGTAATAGAGAGGATGTATTGCGATGGGAGGATGATACACATGGAATCTTCTCTCTTCGGAGTGCTTGGGAGTCTCTTCAACTTCGCTGCCCTAGGGTGACTTGGTATCACATTGTATGGCTCCCTAAATGTATTCCTAGGCATGCATTTATCCTTTGGTTAGCAATTCAATGTGGCATCTATACACAGACAAAGCTTCTTAGCTTTGGTTTGGTACAGTCTATGCGTTGTGTGCTATGTGGATGTTCAGTGGAGGATCTGGATCATCTTTTCTTTGCTTACCCATTTTCTGAGCATGTTTTGGAATGCTCTGCATGCGAAGTGTAACTTGCCTTGGGTCCAACGGAGTTGGCTAGACACTCTTTCTTGGATGGAACAATTTCGAGGGAGGTCAATGTCCTCCATTGTTATTCGGTTAATGTTTGCGGCTTCAATTTATGTTATTTGGCGTGAACGCAATGCTATGACCCATGGAGAGGCTCCTAAAAATGAGTCTATTGTTATTCAAGATATTGTTTTTACTATTTGTGCACGAGTGAATTTGTGCAGGAGCTTGGTTCCATCTAATGAAAATAGATGGCTCCAATGCTCTTGGAGGTTTTCTTCCGATATTTTTTGTTCTTGTGATTAGAATATGAGCACTTTTCTAGAGTTTTGTTATTGTTGTTAGGAAAGCATTAATTCTTAGCATTGTTTCCTGGGATATACCCCTGTGATTTGTACTTATTTTTATGAGAAGGCGTTGCAATATATATATATATATATATATATAGTTGGAGCAATGTTCAAAGTTAGCTACACTGAGTGACTAAGTCATCATAATAGCATGATTATTTTGAGTATTATGTTTATTCACAGTAATATCACCATGAGTAACAACATCGCGAACAGAATTATATTGCACGTCAATGCGTTTCTTCCTATCATGAAGCATGTGATATTTTTGTGAGGAGAAAAGCTCTCTAACTATCACAAAAGATTGTGGTAAACTGCATGTCTTCACTTAATAACAGTCATTTTAATCGAAAAGCTTCCTTATTAGACTCTATAATAGTCATGTACTCAACCTCAATAGTAGACAATGCAACTGTAGTCTGTAAAGTAACTTTTCATTTGATAGCACAACCACCAATAGTAAAAACATACTTTGTAAAAGATCTTCTCTTATTAGGGTCTCCAACAATATCAAAATAGACAAATATAATGACTATATCTCTTATTTTCCCAAAATACAAACAAACATTAGTAGTGTCATGTAGGTATTTGAAAATTCAATAAAATGCTTTCCAACGTTCTTTGCCAGGATTTTCCATATAACCACCAATTGCATTGACTGCATCTCATAAATCTGGACATGAAGAAACTATAACAGACATGAAAGATCCAACTGACTAATATATGGAAATCATGACATACAATCAACCTCGTCATTTAATTGTGGAGATAAAGAAAATAAAAGTCTAAAGTAAGCCGTTAAAGGAGTACTAACAAGTGTGGCCATCTGTATATTGAACCTATAGAGAATTTTCTCAATGTAAACTTTCTAATTTAGGTATAATTTGCTTCCCTTTCTATTTATCGGAATCTCCATTTGAAATATCTTTTTTACTGCTCCTAATCCTTTCATCTAAAATTCCTTCCTGAGCTAGGCCTTGACATTTCTTATTCTTCATTATCCTTGGCTACTATCAACATATCATCAACATATATGAGTAGGTATACAAATGACCCATCATCACTGTTCTTAAAGTCAACATAATTGTCATAAAATGATTCTTTTTGAAATCATGAGCGGTCATAAAATGAGTCAAACCTCTTATACTACAGTCGAGTGACTGTTTTAGGCTATAAAGCAACTTTTTCAGCAAGCACATATAGTCCTCCTTTCCTTTAACTATAAAACCCTCTGGCTGTTGCATATAGATGTCATCATCAATTTCTCTATATAAGAATGTTGTCTTCACATTCAATAGGTCAAACTCAATTTTATGCATAGCTACAATATTAAGAAAAGCTTGAAACAGTCTATGCTTTACAAATTGAGAGAATATATCTATGAAGTCTAAACCTGTAACCTGACTTAGCCCTTTGCATCTAGTGTTGCCTTATACCTAGCTTCTTCAACTCATGGCATTCCTTCTTTCTTTTTTAACACACATTTACAATAAACAGCTTTCTTGTCGCTAGGTAATCTAACTAAATCCTATGTTCTATTCTTATGAAGCGATTTCATTTTCTCCTATTTGGCAATCATCCATCTACTAGAGTCATCACCACTTACTACATTTGAGTAAGTAGAAGGTTCTTTAATGGAATCAACACCTTTCACCACATTCCAAATTAGCTTCACCATACCTCGGTGAAAATCTAATATCTCTGGTTCACTAGCATTATAATATTGTGGTAGCACTGGTGGTGTTGACAAGCGGCACCGCCCTGTACTTTTGAGCTAGGTTGAGATGTAGACTCTAGTATAGCTCCTAAACTAATCACATACTCCACTTGTTCGTTTAATTCATGATAATTGTTATCACAAAAATCTCTAAAATGTAAGTCAAAGAGCATTGCAGTTTCATTAAAGATTACAACTCTACTGACTATGACTCCGTTGGTTTCATGATATCAAAGCTTATATATCCTTTAACTTGAGGGTTATAGCTAAAAAATATGTACTTTTCTAAATCCAGGTTCAATTTTCCATTATCAACATGCGTATAGGTATGATATCCAAATCTCTTCAAATCAGGGTAACTAATAAAAGTACCAGACCATACCTTTTCTGAAGTCTTTTGTTAATGGAAGTTAAAAGTGAGTGATTAATAAGAAAATTGGCTGTAGAAATAGCTTTGGCCCAAAATTATTTAGGTAACAAATCAGTATTGGAGAGTGTTGGGTTTTTGATATCCAATAAATCTCGGGCTATGATGTTAACGTGGGTTAATATTATTTTATAGGCGTAGGCCGATGAATGAAATAAGTCCAACAACCAAGTCCATGAGTTACACCTGGCCCAATTGTATTCCTTCTGGATGGCTTGAATCTGGGCCCGTTTACTTCTTTAATGGCCCAACTTAAAGCCTAACCCTAGAGTATATATATAGATATAACCCTAGCCTCTTTTGAGTGATGTTTTGTGAGACTTTGTGTGAGAAAAAGGGAAATCCCGGCTGCCCTCTTGGTGAGTGAAAAAACAGCCCCTAAAAGTGTTCAAAACACCTGTTTACTTTGTGTAATTGGTGGTTCCTTCATAGTATACCTTTGTGGTGTCTTCTCTTAGCCTTTGTGGCCACAAATCATCATCCTTTCTTGTCCTACGCGGGTAAGAGTGAATAGCAACCGAGGTGAATTATATGGCTGTGGTTTGGAGTCGGTTGGATTGGTTGTTGGTAGAGAAATGTACGTTGGACTAAGCCTGGAATACCACCGTTTGAAGATCCTTTTGAGAGAGCTTCCGCAACAATTGGTATCAGAGGTTCAAGGTGAAGGTTTTGGCTCGTGAAATCTACCAAAAATCGTCCAGAAATGCAGCACAAATCAGATCAAAAAAGCTGTCCAAAAACTGTCAAAATCAGTCTTCATTTTTTTGCATTTTCTAATCAATCCAGAAGGAGTTTTGAAAAATTGAGACCACTGGCATGATGTGCAGGATGAGGCGCACCCTGCAGGCAAGCGCATGATGGTCAGATCCGACGCGTGTGGCGGCGCGTGTGGACCACGCAGAGAGAAGAGACGGGGCATGAGGGCGCGTGGGAGGAAATCCCTCAGGCAGTTTGTTCCTCATATTATTTCTGACATTTTTCGTGTTGAAAGTTTTCTATTTCAGGGTACGCAGTAGAATCTGGACAGCGTTGCTCTTCGGGCATTCGGGACTCCATCGTGATTTTTTTAATGCTACAGTTTCCAGAGACTTTAGGATGAATAGTGATAGTCCTGAAGTGGTGAATTTGTGTCTCTCGATATTTATGGACCTTCAGACGTGGTTCGCTCGGTATCGTGTTCTTTACCTTTTATTATTGCAGTTAAAATATTATTATGGTAATTATTTATTTTTCACATTAGAAGTCATCGTGTGAAGTGATGTTAGGTTTGGGGTAACCATTTCTTGTTGCTAGACCTAGGAATTACATGTTAATTAATTGTCTTAAATTCTATGTGAAATTGTCACCAATTTTTCTATACCGATAGAATTGCATGTGACCTTAGAAAAATTTACTCAACTATTCTGTGTGAATTATGTGTTAGTACTTTGCTTGTGGTCATTATTTGGTATTGTTAGCATGTATAGGTTTAAGGCAAGTGCAAAAAATAACATATATTTTGACTAAGGTAAAATTTGGGCATAGTTGAAAGAGATTGTCCTAGGATTATAATAAAAGGCAAGATGAGGATAGAGACAAGGCGAATGTGACTTTAGGGTCGAGTAGTGATCCTAGTGAGGTTTATTTAGAGAATAAACCTGGTTCTTGTATTGCATCTATGTGTAATCATTTCTGCATGTATAGGATCACTTAATTATGTTGCAATGTTGATGCTACACTTTCAATATGTTTGATGTGTGTAATTGCATGAATTAGAGTGACTTATTACTTTGTGTAATATGTTTACATGCATAGTGGGTTAAGTTTTATGGCGTACTCTATTTGCTCTGTGAGTGGTGTGAGAGTGTGGTAGTGAGAAGAAAGTTGGGCAGCCGTTTCTCTCCTTCATCTTTGTGAGCCTGTGTGGTTTGTGAGATTATGTGAGGCAGCCATGTTAAGGTTACCTTCTTTATCATTGTGAGCCTCTTTTGTGAGTATAGTGAAGTGACCGACTCTTTCTTCGATTCTCTTTGAGAGTGCCACCTTCACTATTTTCTTTGTGAATTTTTGGGAGCATTGGTGAGTGGATTAACCTTTGTGGTCACCGAAAGGTGTTGTTTTGCCATAGTGAGTTTGAGATGCATTAGCAGTGAGTTGGATGTCTTTTGGTAAGGTGGAGTATAGATGCCTAAATGTGCATTGGTGATATGCACGGGAGATGTGGAATGTGACATTTGGATCATGAGTGGAGATGTGATCAAATGTCTAGAATCCTTTATCTGGAAAGAGACCCTGATCAGGTGGAGTGTAAGAGAGGCACTTCTCTCACTTCTATTAGGTGGAGACCCATTATCCACGTAGGTTGGGAGAAGTGATGTGGTGATAGAGGATTATCCCAAGAGCTTAGGATCTATTGTGACTTGCCATTTAGACATGAGTTAAGTGATTTGTCTAGTGAGCTTGGTGGGCGATGAGAATAGATATGTGTTCTCGAGGTGTGAGCAACACGAAATGGGATAAGATAAGTGTGATGAGATCTTTTCTTACGGTTATTTATGCATGTGTTGCATATGTGGTTGACCGTGGTTTGATTGACTTGGTGTTAATCTATGGTTCCATGTGAACGTGTTTCTGAAAAGATCTGTGTGTGTTATCCTATATTATATCGTCATCGCACGTGTATTTGCTCATGATTGTTTACTGTTAAATATTTGCTTCTACTTGGGTGTTTTTTGACCTTAACCCTAGTGAGTACATGGACCAGGTATGGTATGTGTTTCAAATTAAAAACACGAGGTAAGGTCTGTGATCCAATTTTATTGGCTACCTTGAT